GTCGTGATCATGTTTGGACTTAGATTTGCAAACACAAACATGTTGTACAATGTTATCAGGAGGAGAAACAAGCACAGCAAGCCACTTACTCGTAAATTTTTCAACGGACGAGTATTAATTCTTAAACTGTGTCTTCAGTTTTTGGGACATCACCTCTTTCTCCATGAGACATCACTTCCTCCATGTCCTTTGAACTATTACAGGATGGGATGAGAAAGGAATGAATTTTTTTTTATCACAGTAGAAAGATAATTTGGACTGAATAATAGATGAAGACACCAGAAGGAAGAGCTTGTAGGATGAAGTGGAGAACAAAATATTGGCCCTTGAAGTCTGTGCTAAAAGTGATTTTTTTCCAAGAATTTTGTATATCACGCCTGTCATAAACATTTAGTTTCATTGTGCAATGAAGACAGATGACAAGAATTTGCTGCTCCAGCAACCCCCCCCAAAAAAAAGAAAGAAAGAAAGAAAGAAAGAAAGAAAGAAAGAAAGAAAGAAAGGGGAAAAAAAAAAAGGCAACTTCACTATGTCCTTGGAATCTGCCTTTTTTTGGTTTCAAATGTGCAGTGGAAAACTTGGGCCTGGAAGGGCTGGGGCTGGGGACAGTTGTTTATGTAAGTAATTGGACATCTACATAATTATGGAAATCAGGACAAGTCCCTCTATTCTCATCTGTTCCAAAGCCAGGACTTGCTCTAAAGTTAAGAGGAATGCAGGCTTGAGAGAAGTACACAGCTTAGCTGTCCTATGCTGACTCACGTAAGCTTCAAGGTTATGAGGGTTTTCTTCATTTTGTGTCCAAATGGTAGGAGGGGAAAACATGTCTTCAGAATCAGTTCTCCGGGAAGAAAAGTGCTTGGGCAGTTCTTAGGTTAGGGAGAACTTTTGTAGATCAGAGGATGATGGGAGATGTGAAGAAATGATTGAAGACAGACTGGGGGAGAAGCATCCTCAAGAAAGGTCCAGAGCACTAGATGGACAGCTGACAATGGCGAGGAGCAACATGCCTTCCACAGAGAGAAAAGACAAGTGAACAGACAAAGGGCTGATACACAAGATCTATAAAGGATTCCACAAACTCAAAACACACAGAACAGATAATCATGTCAAAAAATGGGCAGAAGACATGAACAGACACTTCTCCAAAGAAGACATACAAACTGGCTAGCAGACATATGAAAAAATGTTCATCATCATTATCCATCAGGGAGATTCAAATCAAAACCACATTGAGATACCACCAGTTAGAATGGCCAAAATCAACAAGACAGGAAACAAGTGTTGGACAGGATGTGGAGAAAGGGGAACCCTCTTACACTGCTGGTGGGAATGCAAGTTGGTGCAGCCACTTTGGAAAACAGTGTGGAGATTCCTTAAGAAATTAAAAATAGAGCTACCCTATGACCCTGCAATTGCACTACTGGGTGTTTATCCCAAAGATATAGATATAGTGAAAAGATGGGCCACCTGTACCCCAATTTCATAGCAGCAGTGGCCACAGTCACCAAACTGTGGAAAGAGCCAAGATGTCCTTCAACGGACTAATGGATAAAGAGGATATGGTCCATATATACAATGGAGTATTATGCCTCCCTCAGAAAGGATGAATACCCAACTTTTGTATCAACATGACAGGAATGGAAGAGATTACGCTGAGTGAAATAAGTCAAGCAGAGAGAGTCAATTATCATATGGTTTCACTTACTTGTGGAGCATAAGGAATAACATGGGAGATGGAGAGGAGAAGGGAGTTGGGGGAAATCAGAGAGGGAGACGAACCATGAGAGACTGTGGACTCTGAGAAACAAACTGAGGGTTTTGGAGGGGAGAAGGGTGGAGGGCTTGGTGAGCCTGGTGGCGGGTATTAAGTAGGGCACGTATTGCATGGAGCACTGGGTGTGGTGCATAAACAATGAATCTTGGAACACTGAAAAAAAATAAAATTACAAAAAAAAAAATACAAGTGAACAATCACAGGAAAGATAGAGAGGGATTCTGGCATCGAGAAAAAGGATCCTAGAGAATCTCAGTATCTTATCAGCAAATGAGGTAGTGAGGTCACCTTCTGAGAAAGAGTGAGTAGAACTTGGGTCTTGGGAAGTTTTGGCCTAGCCCCGGTAAGAAATGCAAGGGGCTACTGGACAGATGAATGGAAGGGTGATCAAGCAGGTAAGCTAGAGTCACAGTGGGTCATTAGAAGGGTGTTCTGGAGCGGTTATTTGAGATCTCAGAGACAGGGTGATTTCAAGTGACAATTGTATCTAAGGTGGCACTTTTTGAATGCCAATCAAGGCCATTCCAGCTGAGCAGATCAAGTACAAAGCCAAGGTATCAGTGCCACCTACTGGCTTATGGAAGCCAATGAGGAGGCAAATGAGAGATCTAGAGAATTCTAAATTTTCACAGTACTATCTGAATAACACTCACTTGACCTAGCCATGTATCCTCTGTAATTAGAAAGGATGCTTTGGGCATGGACATGGAATAACTCCCAGAACCATGTAAATAGCATTTGATTTAGCAGAGCAAGGTGCATTTAGCTTGAACTCCTACCCTAGCAGTGGATCTAAGACACCATGGAGATTAAGGTGGACGGATATCAGGAATTAGGAAAACCAATCACTGTGTTGGTTCCTACAGGCATGGATGCCGAGGCAAAGTAACAGCCTCTAGGTCTAGCAGAGTCCAGTGTATGCCTTGCTCTTCTGTTCCAATCTAGACTGTCCAAGGAAGTCAAAAAGTCTCCTGGCTAGCATTTGAATTATAACTATCTCTTTACAAATCATTCTCCTCAAAAATCTTTGAGAACCCAAGAGCAGGTTCTTTTCATTTTGTATATATCTAAATTTCACCTAATACCTAGCACCTAGATGTTCAAAGAATATCCACAGAATGAATGAATGAATGAATGAATGAAGAATCTATGATCCTACATTTCTCTAGAATACACTTTCTTTGGCTTTAGAAGCCTCTGGGAAACCCATCCCTCATTGCTGTTCCATTTGGGGCACACTTTTGAAAGATGTGTAGCTACCATCCAACTCCATAAACACAAATGACTAGCATTGGCAAGGTAGGCGAGACCTACTTTTTCCTAGCAGGTCTGTCCTAGATCCTCTGCTCACTTTCTTGCTAGTGTCTGGACTGATAATTACTGCTCAGTTGGTTGTGGCAAAGGTCACACTGTGCCAAAAGTAGAAGAGATTATAGCAAGGGCAGTAATTAAGAAGTGGAATGGGGAACCTGAATAAATAAAAGGCTGCATAAATATGCTGCCTCCATTGAGTGAGACAGTCTCAACTTGAAATCACCCACTCCTACAAGACAGAAGTCCCAGCTTTTTTTTGCTTTGGAAACCAAGCTTTCTTCCTGATGGCCAAGAATGCAACTAGTCTATTCTAATACCTCTGTGTGAATCAGTAAAAGGCATCTCCTGCAGAGGCAGAGGCAGCAAACACCAGAGTACATGGCTTGATGAGATGAACTTGGGCTGGATGTCTGCCCACTTGACCCTGGGGCAGTCACCTTGTGCAGTGAACGAACTGCATGTTTACATTCTTTGCCCCCATTGGGGATGCACTGTTTCGGGTTTCCGGCTCCTGGGAGTCACTCCCGAGCTAAGAACCATGGTTCCATCCTAAAAGTTATATATCAAATTCCTTGGCAACAACTGGAAGACAAAGAAGAGCAGAGTCTAAGATGGGAAGGGTGTGCCGATGTTAGATAATTGCACTGCTCTGTATATGTCCTTTCCCCTTTAGTTAACAAAACTAATAGACAACCTCTACATCAAAAGACAAACCCTACCTACTCTTCATTTTCATTTTTGTGGTCTGGTGCAATGGAAAGAATTATGTACGTAATTATGTACTTCTCCCAACTACACTAGTTCAGTAAAGCTATGGGACAATGCAGAGGGGTGGACTTTCCTCCATTTCTCACCAGTCAAGTCTGTGTTTCCAGGGCTTCAAAGCAAATACAATAAATCAGGCAGCAAACCTCAGGGTTTCAGTAAGACAACTTGGTTAAACCATGCATGAGTAACTGGTACCTCACTATTCTGGCTGAAGCCCAGGTCAACAATGTTCAGACATATTTACAGGGGGTGGGGTGATTCTGCTGAAATCTGAAACTATATTTTCTGAGCATGATCAATTTCTAAACAATATCAAGTAGTTCTTTGGGTCAGACTGAATAAATTTGTCGATTTCTTTTAGGACAACGGGAGGGGAGGACATGTGTAGCGTTGAGTAGAGGACTGAATTCAACGAGTAGAGACCCATCATTGGTTTATCACTAGGTTATCACCTCCAAAGAGGTTAGCCTGTCTCCACCATCTTTACTAGGACAGTAATTTCTTAAATGGTCATAAGGAGTTCGTAAGGTTGGACTTGCTTCTGTGGAAAGGCCTCCTATGTGTTTTTCCTTGGGAGAGATAAACTTTCCAATTAAATGAAGAATTCTCTGGCTATCTCTTCACTGTTACTCTTTCAGGGTGAGATGCAGCTCACATCTGTCAAATGTTAGCCAAGCCTCAACTCCCCTTCTTAACCAGTAACTGCAATACCCCCAGAATGGCGGGTGGGTCCTGCTTGTTGCTTGACTTGAACCAAGGCTGTAAGTGGGGTCTCTGGAGTCCAGGAACCTTCAGCCTTTAACAGAAAAGTCAGAAGGGGATCAGTAAAGGGGTCCTGTGAGAAGCCCCCCTTGGCTTCTCTCTACTCATAAAATATGTAACACATGTTGACTAGACCCAAAATTATGTCATTGCCTCATAATTTTTTGAGGTTCCAACTTCCAAGGCCCTTGGGAGAGGAGCAGTTGTTATTGTAAGGTCAGGATTTAGGAGCGGCAACTGAAGCCATTCAAGGTCTCCTCGCCGTGTTGTTTCCATTGCTTTTAGGCAGCCACAGAGAGATCTGGCTGCTCTCAGACTGACAGCCCAGGCAGCACTGCCATGTAGGAATGCGGTAAACAATTGGATTTTTTTCCCCTAGGAGAATACATTGATGAGCATGGCCACTGCCAAGTCTGTGAAGCCTCGTGTGCCAAGTGCTGGGGGCCAACTCGGGAAGAGTGCACTGACTGCCCCATCACAAGGTGAGTGGGCTCCCAGTATCTTCTGTGGTTGGGAGCCCATGGGTGGCAGGATGAGGAGAGGAGGTGTTTACCACCTTAAAGTCATCCCCTTGGGTCTACAGGAAAAAGAACCAAACTCCTTCCCATGACACAAAAACCCTCCATGGTCTGGCCATAGAGCCAGCTCTGTAACATCTTCTTCCCATGATGCCCTGCACCCTGTGCAAGAAACAGTTACCTGGACACTAGAGGGGCTTTCCCATCAATGAAAATGGTGTCTTTGATGGCGGCAATTGCATCCCCTTCTGCACACCCATTGTCTCCATCTGCTGATCAAACAGCTCCTCATATTTCTAGAGTCAGTTCAAGGATGAACTGTTCCATGAAGGCATTTTGACCACTTCCCAGAATTAACCTTCTCCTCTCCATGTTCCTCTGGGCTCTGTATAAACTTCCATGAGCACCTGTGACGTTTTAAGGCATTAATTTACAAATCTCTATCTCTCTATAGAGGGGCTGTATTTCGAGAAGCCCCGTGAAATACTCATCTTTGTATCTCCATTACCTATCACAGGGCAAGGAAAATAGTAGGCACTCAATTAATGTTCGGTAGCTGAATGAATGGGGAAATAACAAGCATCTGAACGGAATGAGAATCTGCTAATACACTGGGAATTTCTAGCATAGAGCGTTGGAAGCCTGTTGCGTTTTTAGTCAATATTCCTCTAATTGGAGCCCTTAATACTTGCAGGCTGACTGAGTGTTTGAATGCGTAGCCCCATCACTACTCTACTAAGTGCGTAGGAAGCAGGCTCTCTCCCGACCAGTATGATGAGTCTGCTTTGGCAGCAGATAAATCCCCAGAATGGACATTCCCTCTGCTTCGTACAACAGTCATTTCACCTAATTCTTCCTCAAGACTATAATCCCCTGAGCAGGAACTGTGGTTGTATTTGTGTTCCTAGTCACCCCCCAGTGATCAACACACAGTAATGATTCAAGAAATAATAAAGTGTATAATCAATATCATGGGCTTGACTGTCCAGATAGCTTCCTCAGGAAGAGAAAAAAGGAAGGGGGAGATGGAGGGAGGCGGGGAGAAAAACACCAAAGAAGTCTTAAGAATTGTCAATGCTTACTGTGGCAACATTTTCCAAGTGTCTCTTTTAGATATCTATGCCTCTACGTATTGGATTTGCTTTCAAGCAGCTTCAGGAAATACTCTTGGGTATAGACATCATTCTGAATATGGGTCCTGCTTCTCCTAACTCCTCACCATATCAACAGTCAAGCCCCACTGCATGTTTGGACATCTTTGAACTAAAGGAACTTACTAGCATTTGTTTACTATGGTTATTACCATCCTCCAGTGTATACCGCAGAAGTCAGGATTGTCCCAGGATCATCAAAAGTCAGAAAACAACAACAACAACAACAACTCTACTACCATAAATAACCATGAAAAAAACTGAAGCCCATTGGTACATTAAGATCAGAGATACAGTTCCTGGGACATTGGGGTAGCACAACTGGCATAAGCAGCCCATGATTTAGCTTTAAAAGAAAGAAAAACATGCTCATGGATCTTGAACTCATGTGTTCTCCTACAGAAATCTTGCTTCCCAGGAAGAGTTTTCTTCTCATCTCCCTGAGCACTCCATTTTGCTCATCTCTCTTCCTTGATAAAAATTACTTGCAAATATGTCCAAGAGAGGGCATCATATCATAGCAATGAACTACCTGACTTTTTTTAATCTGCATTTTGCTAGAACAGGGTTGAGACGATGAGGAGATAAAAGCTATTTGGAAAGATGTTGATGTCGACTGAGTTGTTCTTAAAAGACAAAAAGTATTTTTCTTAAGTATCTTCCAAAGCATTTTCTTGAGTGGAATCAGATCCCTTCAAGACGGTCTTGAGCACCTGCTCTATGTCCAGCTCTGAGTTAGGTCCATGAATTCTCACAGGTAGTTCAGGAGGTCAAAGTCAAGGGTTGGTGAAGTGCTCAGGGACCAGCTTTAACACTCTAGACCTGAAGCAAAAGCTGCAACCCTAGGGGGTGGGGAGGGGGAGGCTAGCTTGATAGAAAGTAGGGCTGTAGGGGACACGGCCACTCCAGAACCATGGAAGGAGGAAGCAGAGTTACAGCTCCAGGGGGGGAATAAATACCCCCAATCTCTCTCTCCTCCCATCCATAGATCTGCTGGTGATTTCTCTTGTCTAGAATTAAGTGGAGGCCAATGGGAAACACCACTTACAAATGGGAGGAGTGAGCCTGGGAAGGTAGGGTCTAGTTGGCACACTTCCAGGACATGGCAGGACAAATAATGACAAAAAATGGATCTGAGGCAAGGGTAAGGAGAGAAACAGAATACCCAGGACAGTTGGTCTGTCTGAGTTTTTTCCTGGTCTTAAGCTTTTAGATATCTCTAGTCCTGGCAGAAAAAAATCATCCCTAAAGATGTTTGTTGTTTTTTTTTTTAAAGATTTTTTATTTACTTATTTGAGAGAGAAAGAGAAGACACGAGCAGGAGGGAGGAGCAGAGGGAGAATGAGAAGCAGACTCCCCACTGAGTAGGGCGCCTGAGGCAGGACCCTGAGATTATGACCTGAGCTGAAGACAGATGCCCGAATGAGCCACCCAGGCACCCCACAAAGGAGTTTTTATCTAGGAAAGAAGTATTCATATTTAAGTTATAGGTTTGCTTCAAAATGATATGGGAGGGAAGTAAACCAATGGGGATATAAATAAGATTGGCCATGCAGTGAAACTGTTGCAGCTGAGAGATGAATACAGAGGAAAGGGTACTTTTATGTCTTGTATATGTGTTTATTTTATATATATTTAATTTTTTTTCCTTAGTAAAGTTTTTAAAAAATAACATAACCCCAAACTTGTTTTACAGAAAACCAAACTTCAGGAAGCCCTCTCTTTGTATTCTAGTTCTCTCTTTACATTTCCATTAACTCTTGGAATTAGCTCCTTAGAGAGGATTGAAAACTTGGAGGCAGAAAGAGCCTCCTTTGGCACTGCTATCTAACATGCAGAGCCCTCAGTGCTATGGCCCTCATGGCCCTCCTGGTCCTCCTGGCCCAAGCTGGCTTCCCAACCCAGTTCTGAAGGAGTCATAGAGTCAATGAACCAATTAAAAACATTAAAAGTTCCCTCTGTTCTGACCCAACCTCAAATGCTTTATTTGATCTGTTTCAATGAATTTGGCGGGGGTGGGGGGGCACGGAGAGACTTTTTGCCAGATTTCATTTTGCTTTAACATTATCTCCCTCTCCCTCTGCCCCTCACCCCTGTTTGCTCTCTCTCCCTCTCTCCCACTCAAGTAATAAAAATAAAATCTTACAATATAAGAAAAAAAATTAAAGTACCAAGAAAGTACCAAGACGTACTTGGGCCAAACCAACAATCAGCAAAGGATCCACTAACCCTGATTTACTATCTTATCTCTTCTAGTTTGTATCTCTCTCTCTCTCTCTCTCTCTCTCTCTCACACACACACACACACACACACACACACACACACACCGGATGTTGGAAAATGTAGTGCCAATATGGAGAACATGACCTCTGTCCAGCTCACTAACACTCGGTTCTGCCGACTTCTTCCTTTCCATAAGCCCTGTTGGACCTGGAATGGTTCGCTTATTATGAAAAGGCTAAAAGGACGCATGAGTTGGGGAAGAAATGCCTTCCCTGCAGAGATTAGCTTGCCCAGTTTTCTCAGACATCCAGAGTGGGGGACGGGCAGTCCTAGAAAGGACTTGAGTTGGCTTTACAAGAAATTGTCTTCAGCCCCACAGAGCCCAGAGCAAGGTTATCTGTTCTCCACTAGGGAAAATTTGTTAGTGTCAGTGGAAATCTGACCCACCTGAGCTGGTTCTTTTCTCAAGTTCCTTAGCAGTTTTCCTTGAGGGGGATGGGCGTGCAGGAGATGGTATAATTCAGTGCCTTTACCTAAACACGACTGTTTTCCTTCTGTTTTGATCTCTAGAAAGAATCACATTCTTACAAAAAACTGTACTTCACCTTCACTTTCCTTAGAGTAGATATGAAGGGAGGTGGTTTAAAGCACCATTATGTGCTTGGTACTTTCTTAAAATTAAGCACTCAAGTCAAAAAGGCTGCCCCATGCATATATTAACATGAAAGTATTACACCCTCGGCTCACCCCCAAGTCTGCTGCCCCCACTTTCTGGATGCTTCTAAATGGTTGCCATCATTGAGAGTATTAGATCACTCCTCCCAAGATAAATTATTTCCCCCTAAATAAGTTCATCAGCTCTTTCTATAAAAGGCAAAAATGATGACATACTTTTCATTCCCTTTGCAACTGAATTTAGTAGGAAAAAAAAAAAAAGAACCCTCACTAATAAACATTCCCATTCTCCCTTCTGCAGAGTATCTAGCAGCTTCCTTGTTTAAAAACCTCAGAAAGCTCTTACATAGTTTTTCTTAAAGGGAGGTTTTGGGTTTTTAACTAGTCACATCCAAATGATTCCTTTAAAAATCTAGCTCAGATGCCAGAGCTGGGGTTGGGCTGGGATATTCCCAGTCGGCATTAGTGCCATCAACTAAAAGTCTGGGCTGGGAGCGCAGCCTTCTCATCAGACACCATGGCACAGGGGATCTGTTTTGACATAGACAACCAGATGTGCATACGTGTCTGCTCAGGGCTGGGACTCCATGCCCTGCAGTGGGCCACAGGCCTTGTTCACTCCAGCAGTGCTCAGTATGGTGACCAGAAACCAAAGGGCAGAGAATACAAGAACGAGGTGGCTGTCTGTCTTATGATGTTGGTGTTAATCCCACTGTTGCCAACAGATGCAAGTGACACAGACTTTCAGGGTGTGGAGACGAGATGGAAGATGTCAAGCAACACCCTACTCAGGTTGCCTTGCTCCCCTGCCAACCTCCACAACCCTGTGACTGAAATGGCCCATCCCTGGCTCAGGGCTGGCTCTAGCTGTGGAAACAGTGGGATTTAGACACGCCAGTGCACCCCAGGCCTATGCCTGCCCTTCCATGGGAGGTCCGGCATGGTGGGGGGAGACAGGCTGCAGAGGGAGAAAGGAGCCCTACCTTTGCTGACAGGCCCTCCACTCTCTCCGGTGAGGATGCCAATGTTATACCATCGGGGTAAGTGTGTGCTGCATGGTGAGTTAACCTCACAACTGAGAGACAGTAACTACTGCTGTGAAGAAACTTGAACTGATCCAATTGGACACCACCTGTTTAACTTAGGACTCATTTAGCAAATTCCACAGTCATCCATACTACCAGTGAGCAGAAGGCAGAACAGCAGCTCTCAAACTGTGTTCCCTAGACCAACAGCATGAGCATCGCCCAGGAACTTAACAAATACAAATTCTCAGCTCTCTCCCCCAAAGACTTACTGATTTAGAAACTCCGGGGGCGGAGCCTCGCGGCTCACTTCGTCAATCCGCATTACCTATCTGACTCTTGCCCTTGCTAAACATTTCGTATTTTTCTGAGCAAAATTTTTGGATACGATTTACTTCATCCTGTTTGCTCTTGGGATTACTTTGCGAAGGAAGAAAAGAAGCAAAACTATGAAAATATCAACAGTGACATTATGATATGTATTTTATGTGTATAAAATCAAAGGTTTTAGAAGCCCCCATTCTAACTCATTCGTGGTGCTCATGCAGGTGTTTGCAAACAAGATGAAAAAAAAGCTGGTACATTAGGCATCAGGAAGCCCTTGCAAAAAGGGTGTGCAAAATCAGAGTTTATCGATTACTTTGCCTTGTGCATAGATCAAGTTTATAAGTGGCACGTAAGCTACGGGACCATGCTTCGTTCTACCCCTTTGAGAGCCCTTGATGTTGGCATTTCCCTTATAAAGTGTGCACATGCTGGTAACTAAAGGAAGAGTATTTTCTCCAAGGCCTCTGGATGCAGAGGCCCATTTAGTGTCTTGAAATTTTAAAGACCTCCATGTGACTGTTGACTGTGTTTGGCTGGGGCCCACAGTATGGGTTTAATCCCTGCAGGCACCGGTTAGCTTATTTGGAACCAGACTCGGGACTGCATCCTGAGCCAGTTTCTGGCATGCCTGCTGTTGGGTCCAAACCTTGGGCCAAGGATGGGTACGTGACTAATATTCCCCATGTTCTAAGATGATCAATCCCAGGCATCCCCCTTGTTTCTGAAACAATGAAACCAAGTCTGTGCAGTGAAACATGAACACCACATGTTCTCATACTTAGAGCCGTTCCAGAAAGTCACCCTTACAAACTCTGAAATCTGCTCTTCCTCTAGGACTTTTGACAATGGCCGCTGCGTTTTCAAATGTCCCTCAGGGACATTTGAATTTCAGAACCAATGTCATCTATGCCACCACACCTGCCAAGAATGCCAAGGAAATGAGCCTTCCAACTGTACTTCCTGTGGAGTAGGTGAGGAAGTCTGGCTGTTCTCTTCTTCCTTTCTTTAAACCTGTTCTCCCCCTGGTTTGACTCAGAAGCTTCAACTCTGGGGACAAGGGGTTGATCTCAGAAAGCTATTCGCTGGGGAGTGCATACAACCTTGAAGTTTCTGCTTCTTGTCAGGAAACGAATTCACATTATCGTAGACACAGACTCACTGTCCCTAAGGAGATGAGAAAGAAGCTAAGACATGTCTTTCCGGAGAAGGAGAAAGGTCATTCAGACATGATGTCAGACATGAGACCGTCAGGAAAGCTAAGATTTGTTGTGGTGAAAGTGAAAAGTGAGGATGTTAAGGGAGACACATTCAGTCTTCAAGAGAAATATTGAAATAGAGGCTGTGTCAAGGTCTCCTCAGCCCTGAGCTATTTTATTGAGAAGTTGTCAGAGCCCTACTGTAGGAACAAAGGAATTTTTTCAACAAAAATATTGTTTTGTCTCAGCTTTAACAGTTCAAGTTTCTGCTGTCATTGGATTATATTTCATGATATCAAAGGTCCTCTGCAGTTTGACCCTTGACTCCTTTCCAACTTCCCCTCATATGTCTGTCCCCCACTTTTATCTCATGTGGGCCAGATTCGTATTTTATTTGACCTTTTAACATTTCAGCCAAATTTAAAAATTGGGAAATTTCAAAGAAAAACTTGGTAGTTTGTTTTGTTTGTTTTATTTGGTTTTGTTTTGGTTTGTTTTCTTTGCAAACTTGGAGCACAACATCGGGCACCACTTGGCCTACATTCCCCAAATGACTGACGGGCGATCAGAGGAGGCTGCTCTCCCCACCACTCCCTATTGTCTCACTGATCCCAAGGCCATCAGTTACCACCACCTCATGCTCACATGTTGTTTTTTTTCCTGGTGGAAGAGAACTATTTATCTTTATTAATATAACCAAGAAAAATGAAGACTGAATTGAGAGTATCATGCATTTGTAGGAAAATGGGAGATAACACATTTCTTTGTGTAAACTAAAATTGTTTCTTTGTGTTTGTCATGTAAACAAGGTAGGTCTATGTCAAATTTTCTCTCTGGTTTGCTCTTTCTGTTTCCTTCCTCATCTATAAGATGGTGATAATGGTTTTCTACTTTTAAGATTATGAAAATAAAATGAGGTTAAGTGAGATAAAATAACAAAGCACTTAAACAGGGCTGGGCACATATGAAGTACTCAATAAATACTAAATACTACCCTTACTATCACCACTACTACCACCACTGTTATTGTTTATACCTACTTACTCCTGTGGGCATGCTAATTTCCCTAGCTGTTCAAAGACCTCACTGGAGATTTTCCTCACTTGTTACCTGCCTAACCTCTATTTATTTTGTAGGTTTCAAAATAATTTCCTCAACGAGGGATGTCCCAATTTCCTTGTCTCGGATGGGACCTTTCTATATGTGCATCCTTGGAGCTTCTGCTTACCCCTTTACAGGCATCCTCAATCTCGATAGCTATCTTGTCCATAAAACTCTATGTCCTATAAAAGCAGTGAATGGTTTCTACCTGAGCACTAGCTTTGAGCACTGGGACAGCATGCAGAGTGCACAGTATAACTGAATAAATGAATGGTTCAGTAGCAGGTCAGTACCAACAACCAGGGTAGAACTGGGTTCTAGTTCTAGTTCTAGTTCTAGTTCTAGTTCTAGTTCTAGTTCTAGTTCTAGTTCTAGTTCCTGCTTTGTGACTAATGAACTAGAAGATATTTCTTTACCTCTTTGAGTCTCTCCTTGTTAATTTAAAAAAAAATGTGGCTGGGGGTGACACATAGGCAAGACAGCATCTAAAAAATTCCCTTCCACATTAAAAACACATTGACTCTTCATACATAGTCCAAAATTAAGGATTCCCTTGAATACTGAACAAATGTCTAGAATGTTCTACGCATCCTACAGTTACTTGGGCCAATCCACATAAAAGATGCTTTGACACTTCTCTATTTTTTGTTTAAAAGTCTATGTTTACTCCCTATCTTAATAAAAGTTCACCTATGGAAGTTACTACACATAGTGGTCATGGGACAAGACAATAAATAATTGTATGATGCTTGCCTTCAAGGAGTTGACAGCCTAACAGAGGGATCTGTGCTAATAATGGATTATAAACACAAGAAAATATTAAAGACCAAAGGAAGGAATGAATCCTACCACAAGTCAGAGAAGAAACATCACCTTCAGCTCTAGTGAACGGGAAAGCCTTGCCAGAGGGGGCATTGCTGAGTGGGCTCTGATTTCCCTCCTCTGCAGAGCATGTTGTCCCTAGGACATATCTGAGCACGGCCAATATGGGAAACAGTGGTAAAGACAAGGGATCCCTGACCTGAGGCAGTTCCATATCAACAGGCTTTGATACTGAGGGACGCTTATGTGGCTCAGTCAGTTGGGCCACCAACTCTTGGTTTTGGCTCAGGTCATGATCTCGGGGAGTTGTGGGCTCAAGCCCTGTGACAGGCTCCACGTTGGGCACAGAGTCTGCTTGAAATTCTTCCCCCCTTCCTCTCCCTCCCCCTCTGCTCCTCCCCTTGCTCTCTCTCTCTCTTTCTTTCAGATAAATACATAAATAAAATCATTAAAAAAAATTAAAAGGCTGAAATCCTCTGGCTACAGGGTGCCGCCTACACACGAGTGCCTCCCAGCAGTTCACAGAAATTTCGCCTTTGGTTAATTGAAATTTTGTTAAGATTTAGGTCTGGATCCTTTTTGGAAATACAGACCTCCAGCCCTGGGAGTGAAGATTCCCTCTAACGTTCTTGTTCAGATTTGTCCTCTACGAAATTGAACCTAAAACTAAATTCGACCAATCACACAACAGCTACAGTAAGAAAAATGTTGAAGTAAACTTTATAAAGTTTATTTTCAGAATCTCTCAGCCTTTTTTTTTTAAGATTATGATTTTATTTATTTCTTTGAGAGAGAGAGAGAGAGAGAGCATGAACAGGGGGTAGGTGCAGAGGGGAGGGAGAAGCAGATGCCCCGCTGAGCAGGGAGTGCATCGTGAAACTCAATCCCAGGACCCTGGATCATGACCTGAGTTGAAGGTGAACACTTAACTGACTGAGCCACCCAGGGGTTCCTCAGCCGTCTTCACATGAGTCCACATTCTCTTCTAATGAAATTAGCTGCTCTGGAAACAGCTAATTGCTCTTAAGTATAAATGAAAGCCAATCTCGGAGTTTCTTGCACTTTCACTCTTGTCTCATATTATCACATGAAATTTTGCACCTAACAAAAATATCAGCCCTTCTGTTACTAGAACCAGCTTCTCTTACATATTGTCACAATAATTTAAATTCTGAGACTCTATTCAAGTAGCCAAAAATGTATGCATGGTAATTTAAATCTGTGGGACATCAAATTACCAGTGAAAACTAAGTGAGCTGCCATAGTACCCAGGCTATTAGAAATTTGAGCACATCTTGGGGTAATTCTAGACCAAACCTGTGGGAAAATCTGCCCATGATCAAGGCATCTAAGTTAACTCCTTTACAGGGTCCATGTATTTTAAATACCAAGACCATCCAAATCTGTTTTGTTTTTGTTTTTTTTTTTTTAACTCAAATGGCAATACCCAAAGTGGTTCAAATAACAAAGCCATGTCTGAACAATACAAATGGGATTGGAGAACATTTCCTCTGGTATTGAAACCCATCACTGTTAATTTTTATTTTTAGATTATTGATCCAGTCGGTTACATTAGAAAAATGGGAATATTGCTAAATATTAACGCACTTAGCTACTCAATCATTCCTACAACAAATACGTATTTAGAACTTGGTATATGCCAGGCTGTCCCCAAGCCTCTGGATCCTGAGGTGATGTCATGTGAGGGTGTAGGGGATCCGTCTACACCCTACAGCAATGGCTGAATGGAGGAGGGAGTAACTTCTCACTGTTCTCCTCAGATCTTCCTAACTATATCTCAGAAGTATGGCCCTCTGAAAAACAGGATCTTTTCTGAATGAGTCTTGGTGGAAATGGGGTTTGCTAGGGTTTCATAAGGTGTCTGAGAAGAACATAGCTTGGAATGTTCGCCCTTTTGTGGTGTCAAGATTCCACGTTCTACCAGGTCAGGGGTTTGGGCTCCCTATCAATCCCCAAATGCACATGACATCCTCCCAAACACTCTCCTTCCCTTAGAGGAGAATGTTCTTCCAACTCAAACTTGGAGAGGGCTGACACTTTGTTGCACTCCCCCAGGGAAGTCCTCTTTACTGCCTTTGTCCCATGGGAACCAGCAGACTTCCGGTTGGAAATCACAAACACTAAAGAGGTAGCTTCAGAGCTCATAATCCAAGGGTGTGATTTTTAAACTGGATTTGAACTAGGGATTTAGTTAAGGACAAAACACCGGGTTAGATCATTTGAGAGTGCCAGGTTTAGGGACACAGAAATACTTGAATGCTGGCAAGGACTATTACACTGATGTTAAGATTCTGCTCTTGCAACATGGGGTGAGTGATATCTCTATCTACAGATTCAGCAGCCTTGCACCTTGAAGGTCAATGGTTCTGGATCTCCACGTAGAATATCACAAGTGAACACTAACCCCGGTTATTTTGGGAAACACAGGTCAGCTGTTCTGCAGAAGCAGGAGCATATGGGAGACTTAATCCAGAGAAGACAGATCCCTACACACACTCAGCATAAACAAAAACTCCAGGAGGGCGAGGGCAGGGGTCCTCTAGGCACATTTCGTTCATCTTGTTTTATGTGTATATAAACTGATTCTAACCCTTTGTCATTCAGTGTGAGTTTATAATTGGTTCTAATTTTCTATTCCCTCCAAAAGCAACTTCCCATAGTCTCGTATTAGACATACTGCTAATTCTTTCCATGTAGACTCCAATGTTGACAGAAGCTCAGGACTCCCAAAAATCCATTTAAGGAGTCAAAAAGGTGACTGTCCTCCTACGCTGTCATCGTAGGAACTGGCAGCCATGCAAAAATTCAGACTTTTGGACGGTTAATACAAGTGTGTGATTTTGATAACTGAATTCAAAATCATTCTAAAAGTCAGGACTCTCACAGAAACCGTTCTATCAGGAAGCATTTGTTTATTCTCATAGGCTCCCCATAGCTCCCAAGTCTGAGACCCTCCACAGAAACCAAAAGGAGCCCTTGGGAAAGTTAAACACTTTCTGATTCATAGTTACTCACAGAGTGTGGCTTCTGCTTTTGCAGCGACATCCCAGATGGTAGTTCCGACTCACTCAAATGTACAAAATACTCAAAAATTATTCCCCGCAATGAAAATTCTCGACCATAAGCATATAGATCTTGAACTTTTCATTAAATGCATTCTTATACTCCTGGTCCCCTAGCAGCCAAAATACTCAGTTACATCTTTCTTTTAAAATGGGGCACCTGGGTGGCTCACTGGGTTAAGGCCTCTGCCTTTGGCTCAGGTCATGATCCCAAGGTCCTGGGATCGAGCCCCACACCAGGCTCTCTGCTCAGCAGGGGGCCTGCTTCCCTTCCCCTCTCTCTGCCTGCCTCTCTGCCTATCTGTGATCTCTGTCTGTCAAATAAATAAATAAAATCTTTTAAAAAAATTTTTTAGGGTGCCTGGGTGTCTCAGTGGGTTAAGCCTCTGCCTTCAGCTCAGGTCATGATCTCAGGGTCCTGGAATTGAGCCCCACATCGGGCTCTTAGTTCAGCAGAAAGCCTGCTTCCCCCTCTCTCTCTGCCTGCCTCTCTGCCTACTTGTGATCTCTGTCTGTCAAATAAATAAATAAAATATTTTTAAAATATTTAAATCTTAGGTTACAATAGTTTTACAGTTAATTTTGTACATTTTTCTTCTTTTTTGTTGCCCCTCCATCTGCTCAGATAAGCATGGCCAGGAGCGCTTCCTTTATCAGAGGGAGTGTTGGGAGAGCTGCCCAGCAGGCCACTACCCCGCCGAGGGGCACACCTGCCTGCCCTGCTCAGACAACTGTGAACTTTGCCCCAGTGCACACGTCTGCACACGATGCATGGATGGCTACTTCATAGTGCCCAGCAACCACACCTGCCAGAAGTTGGAGTGTGGACAAGGTAAGGCTGCTCTGGGCCAGTCTTATACCAGGAGGCAGCATGAGGAGCTCTACCTCTGGATGGCTCTGAGATTTGAATTGACCTCCTGGCTTTAATGTTGGCACCTGGGATGACTTTGTGTGACTGTATGTCCAGTGGGGACACTGATGGCTGCTCCTCCCTCTTCCTCCACACACCTTTCTCTGGGTCTCTTCAGACACATTCCAGAGACACAGTAATGCAGCTGATCACAGAGACATGGATATTGAATCAAGGGTTTGTGGGTGGGGTATAATGGAGAGAAAATAAAATCAGAATTTGAAGGTCCTAACCAACAATTTTCTCCTTTCCTATTACTAGTTATGAGACCCGGCGCAAAATCAGTCTAATTTCTCTATGCCTTTTACTCTTCGTGTGGGAAAGGGTGAGCATTGCACCGAGATGGTTGCTGTGAGAAGCCGATGAGAATAAGCTTACCTAAAGCTACCTGAAAATATGAAATGTCCTATAAATCGTATGTGTTATTGCTACGGCCCAATTTCGTATCTTACATGGGAAGGAGATTAAAAGACGGGACTTAAATTTTTTGTTCTTTTCCATGTAAGAATGCTACAGATTTTCTCTGCTCTGTATAAGAATTATGCCTGGTCTGGTGCTAAAAAGAGCTCCAAGATGTTTCTAGAATAATTAAGACATTCATTCCTTTTTCTGCTTTATGTTCACTAATGTAGTATAGGATTTAAATCTTGAAAAAATAATTTGGGAAGGCAGATTTAAAAAGATAGAGTCTGTTCACTTATATACCCAATTCCATATTCCCAGAAATGGAACTTCTTGATGTCAAAACTAGTTGCATGGCATATAGCCCAACTTACTCTGTTTGTACCAATCAATCTGATCTAATCTATTAAATTAATGGAAAGAGATTAGAAGGGGGATTCAGGATGGGAGTGTAAAAAGACTTTGAACTCATCTCTCTCTACGGACACTATAATTTTATGGCTACATGCAGAATAATTTTCCTCCAAAAAGGACCTGAGAACTAGATAAACAGCCCCTCTAAAACTAAAGATAAAAGAGACACAGCAAGGGGAACCTAGGTGACTCAGTCAGTTAAGCACCGAACTCTTGGTTTTGGCTGAGGTCATGATCTCACAGTCATGAGATCAAGCTCTGTGATGAGTGGGGAGTCTGCTTCAGATTCTCTCTCCTTCTCCCTCTTTGCTCCTCTCCCAACTCACTTGCACTCTCTCTCTCTAAAATAAATAAAAATACTTTTTAAAAAGAGAGAGAGACACAACAAGACACAGAAAAAAATATTCAAAGAAATAATGGTTAGAAACTTCTCTAACCTGGGGAAGAAAACAGACATCTAGGCCCAGGAATCCCAGAGAATTCCAAATAAGATGAACCCAAAGAGAACCACACCAAGATACATAATTAAAATGGTAAGAGTTAAGAGAGAGAATCTAAAAAGAGGTGCAGAAAAACAATTTATTTAATGTACAAAGAAAATTCATATGCCTATTAGAAAATTTTTCAGCAGAAATTTTATAGGCCAGAAGGGAGTAGCAGATTCAAAGTGGTGAAAGAAAAAAATTTCCAACCAAAAATTGTCTACTTGCAAAGGTTATCATTCAGAATGAAGGAGAGGTTAGGAGTTTTCCAGATAAGCAAAATCTAAAGGAGATCATTACCACTAAAACAGCTTTACAAGAAACGGTAAGGAGATTTCTCTAAACTAAAAGGAAAAGACACTAATAATATGAAAACATATGAAAGTATTACTCTTACTGGAAAAGGTATATACATGATAAAGGTAGTGAAGAGTGAATCTATCACTTACAAAGCAAATTTAAGGTTAAAATACAAAAATAGTAAAATTAATTAAAATTAAAATAATTATGGATGCATAAAATTAAAAGATGTAATATATGTCATTGAAATTATAAAATGTGGAGATTTGGAATGTGTTCAAAATTAAGATGCTGTGTTCTCTTATATACATGGGATATTATATGTGGACCTCATGGTAACCACAAAGGAAAAAGACGATAGTAAATATTCAAAAGAAAATGAGGAAGGAATCTAAACATAACACTAAAGAAGGCCACCAGACCACAAGAGAAGAGAGAAAAAAAAAAAAAAAAACCAGAGAGGAACTTCAAAAACAGCCAGGAGACAATTATCAAAATGAGAGTAAGTATATACTTACCAATAATTACTTTATATGTAAATGGACTAAATTCACCATTCAAAAGATACTATATAGCTAGAGCTATCTTGAGAAAGAAGAACAAAGCTGGACATATCATGTTCCCTTACTTCAAACTATACTACAAAGCTATAGTATTCAAAACAATATGGTGCTGACACACCAAAAAAAGAAAAATAGACATGTAAGTTGATAGAACAGAACTGAGAGCCCAGAAATAGAATCATGCATATATGGACAATTGATTATGAAGAAAGAACCAAGAACATACAAAGGAGAAAAAAGTCTTTTCGATAAATGGTGCCAAGAGAACTGGTGAGCTACATGCAAAAGAATGAATGTGGACCACTTCATTGTACCATACACAAAAATTAACTAAAAATGGATTAAAGACTCATCTAAAAAAGACAGACTGATGGCCAATGAGCACATGAAAAGATGTTCAGCATCACTAGTTTTTAGGGAAACACAAATCAAAACCACAATGAGATACCACCTCATACCCATTAGAATGGCTATTATCAAAAGACAAGAAATCACAAGTGTTAGAGAGAATGCAAAGAAAAGGAAACCCTCATACACTGTTAGTGGGAGTGTAATTTGATGTAGTCCCTGTGGAAAACATATGGATATTCCTCAAAAAATTAAAAATAAAACTACCACATGATCCAGTTACAACACTACTGGGTTTTTATCCAAAAAAATAAGAAAACACAAATTTGAAAAGATATACTCATCCCTGTGTTCATTATGGCATTTACAATAGCCAAAAACCTGAAAATAGCTAAATGTTCACCAGTAGATGAATGGATAAAGTTGATCCATTAAAAAAAAAGAATAAAATGTTGCCATTTACAATATGGATGGGCCATGAGGGTATTACGCTAGTGGAATAAATCAGGAGAAAGACAAATACCATATGATTTCACTCATATGTAGAATCTAAGAAACAAAACAAAACTGATAGATACAGAGAACAGACTCATGGTTACCAGAGAGAAGAGGGTGTGGGCTGGGAGAAAGGGCTGAAGGAGGCCAACGATAGGGTGATGGATGGTAACTGGATTTTGAGGGTGATCACTTTGCGGTATATACAGATATCAAATTATACTGTATACCTGAAACACATAATTTAAAAAATACATTAAGAAATACTCAGAAAATAAAAATGTGATCTTGGAAAATTTTTTTTTAAATTATAGAAGAAAGGTGGGGGGGACATCTGGGTGGCTCAGGTGATTAGGCATCAGAGTGTAGGTTTTGGTTCAAGTCATGATCTCATGGATAATGAGATCAAGCCCCACACTGGGCTTCATGCTCAGTGGAGAGTCTGAGATTCTCTCCCTCTGCCCTCCCCCAATTTATGCACACAGATGAGTGGCGGGGGTGGGGGGGCTCTCTCTGTCTCAAATAAATAAATCTTTAAAAGCAACTATATGGGGCGCCTGGGTGGCTCAGTGGGTTAAAGCCTCTGCTTTCGGCTCAGGTCATGATCCCGGGGTCCTGGGATAGAGCCCCGCATCGGGCTCTCTGCTCAGCAGGGAGCCTGCTTTCCTTCCTATCTCTCTGCCTGCCTCTCTGCCTACTTGTGATCTCTGTCAAATAAATTTTAAAAAGAAATTTTTTTTAATTAAAAAAAAAAAAAGCAACTATAGTGGGGCACCTGGGTGGCTCAGTCAGTTAAGCATCTGCCTTCAGCTCGGGTCACAATCTCCAGGTCCTGGGATCAAACCCTCCATCAGGCTCCCTGCTCAGTGGGGAATCTGCTTCTCTCTCTCACTCTCAGTACCTCTGCCCCACCCCTGCTTGTTCTCTCTCTCTCAACTGAATAAGTAAAATCTTTTTAAAAAATTTTCCAAAAATTTTTCAAAAATCAATTATAGAAGAATGGAAATGAAGAGGGGAAAAAAGATTTTTTAAAAACTTTAAAATCACTGAGACAGTAGAACTAAAATAAAAAGTAAAAGTAGAAAACGGAGAAGAGGGAAGAAAAATTCAGGGTCAACCCAGGAATTCAAATAATATAGGTTTTTAAAGAGTAAACAGCAAAAACAGAATAGAGAACATTAACAAAGAAATAATTCAGAAAATTACCCCAGAACTGAAAGGCATGAATTTCCAGATTGAACAAGCCTTCTGCATGTACAGCCTAACGGATTTTAAAAAGACACACACCAAGGCACACCATTGTAAGAATCTGGGAAATAGATTTCTTTTTTCGGCAAAAGGAAAACCCTAAAAACTCCTATGAGTAAAAAAGCAGGTCATACAAGAAGGACTGGCTATCAGAATGACAACTTCTCAACAATACTGGAAACTAAAACATAAAAATGGGACAAAAACTTCAAACTTTTGAGAAAAGAAATAATTTCTCTTTTCAATCCTAAATTCAGTCAAGCCATGAGTCATGTGTGAGGGTTAAAAAAAGAGTATTTTCAATCATGCAAGTTTTCCAAAACTTTACCTCCCATGCATCCTCTCTTGGGAAAATTACTTGTAAAGGGTATATTCCACCAAAAAATAGAACAAGAAATTAGAAAATATAAGGTCCAGAAAATGGGGCATCAAAGGAAGAGAGGGATGAAAGGAATCCTCAGGATGACAGTAAAAAGATACAAATACAAAGGAAACAGTGAACAAAACAAAAAGGCAACCCATGGAATGGGAGAAGATATTCACAAATGACACTACAGCCAAAGGGCTGATATCCAAGATCTGCAAAGAACTTCTCAAACTCAACACCCAAAAACAAAATAATCAAGTCAAAAAATGGGAAGAAGACATGAACAGACACTTCTCCACAGAAGACATACAAATGGCTAGCAGACACATGAAAAAATGTTAATCATCATTAGCCATCTAGGAAATTCAAATCAAAATAAATTTGATATATTTACATTATTATTTGTTATTTATTATTTGATTCTTACACCAGTTAGAATCACAAAGATTAACAAGGCAAGAAACAACAAGTGTTGGAGAGGATGTGGAGAAAGGGGAACCCTCTTACACTGTTGGTGGGAATGCAAGTTGGTGCAGTCATTTTGGAAAACAGTGTGGAGAATCCTCAAAAAATTAAAAACAGACCTGGCAATTGCACTACTGGGTATTTACCCCAAAGATACAGATGTAGTGAAAAGAAGGGCCATCTGTACCCCAATGTTCATAGCAGCAATGGCCACGGTCGCCAAACTGTGGAAAGAGCCAAGATGCCCTTCAAAAGACGAATGGATAAGGAAGATGTGGTCCATATATACAATGGAGTATTATGCTCCATCAGAAAGGATGAATACCCAACTCTTGTATCAACATGGATGAGACTGGAAGAGATTTTGCTGAGTGAAATAAGTCAAGCAGAGAGAGTCAATTATCATATGTTTCACTTACTTGTGGAGCATAAGGAATAATATGGAGGACATGAGGAGAAGGAAATGAAAAGTGAAGCGGGAGCAATTAAAGAGGGAGACGAACCATGAGAGACTGTGGACTCTGAGAAACAAACTGAGGGTTTAAGAGGGTTTGTTTTTTAAAAAAAAACAAAATAAACTAATGCAAGAGCTGGGAGATTTCTACTTGTACAGTTGAGGATGAATTAAGGACAGATACTGTAAAAATAAATAAGGAAGCTAGAAAAATAGCAGCATAAGAGAAAACAAAAAGGTATACAAGAGCCCAAATATCAAAATATGAATAATAATAGTATAATCATACTATAAATATTACAAACACTATAAATACTGAATATTAATCAAACAAAATTTATCATTTGGGAGGATGGAAAGTATGTCTATGTCTGTTAGAATGGTGGTGAAACAAAGCTAGTCTTTACCACTACAGGTAATGCCTAAGAATAAAATCAAGAGGTAGGTAGCATCATAATCATGTCATTTAGACATTTGGAGGTTAAAAACAAAGAAACAGCTTAAAGAATTAAAATTTGTTGTCTCTGAGAAAAGGAAAGGGCAGAAAACAAGTTACATGCCAAGATATTTTCATAGCAATGAACCCATCTCCACTCAGCAAAAATGAATCGTTATTTCTCACTCTTCCTGTATAGGTGAAGTTCAAGACCCAGACTATGAAGAATGCGTGCCTTGTGAAGAAGGATGTCTGGGATGCAGCTTGGGTATGCCACATTTTTTTTGTTACCTTAAGAGCTGACATAGTTTTTTTTTTTTTCTCTTTTTTCCCACACCTCTTAATTTTTTCAGCAGGAATGTCATTGTTACCACCAGTAAACCCAAGTTTAAGGAAAGGACAGGCATCTTTTCCTCTGGTCGTTAGCTGTCTGGCAAGGGATACCTTCAGCAACCCTGTTTCCAGTTACAAAGGATGTGGCCTCTCCTTGGCTTCTCAGGGTCACAAATAAAGAGATGAGCCATGGTGGGAGAAAGAAACTCAAGCAAAGAAATGCCTAATTAATCTAATTTATTTGGCATGTTATTCACAGACCCCCAAGTTTGGGGGTTTTCCTTTGCGGAAATGACTCCATTGGCTGAAGCCTAAGATGACTCCTTGAGAAGAAAGCAATGTGGTGACTGAGTTGAAATCCCCTCCATACAATGAACAGTCCTCGTCAGTCTTCCGTATCATTCTCTAATTCAAATCGCTGATCCCTTTCTCCCCATGCATGCCTGGTTTTCCTGTGGCAAGGAGGAGACAGACAGTCTGGACAACACAGAACCATTGTAATGGATATAAAATGAAATACAGGGAGGCCACCAAATTCCAGGAATGTATCTTAATGTAAATTTAGTCAAGATACTGAAAATTATTAATGCTTGGGTCTGTAGATCTTTGGGAGGAAACCCAAGCTAAATTAAAGAAAGTAATTTCTGTTCATGGAGTTTCTCTAGGACTGGATAACTCCTCCTTCTAAAACTTTAATGTGCACACAAATCCCACAGGGGATTTGTCAAAATGCAAATTCTGATTCACAGGTCTGGGTAGGGCCTGAGAATTATCTTTCTAATAAGGTGCCTCGTGAGGCCAAGGCTTCAGCAAACACTCATGAGGTTGCAAGAGGTCAGGCTGTGCCAGGATTAAGTAGACTTTTTATCGACTTTACCTAAAGGATTTCCTTGAATTCTTAAATATTATACATGAATTATAATTTATCTGATGGCTATCACAGATTCTCTCTGCCCTCAATGGAAATGATGCATTTTTATAATATCATAATGAAACAGAGGTTTTAGGAAGTTGAATGCCATTCTCCCATTACTTTCCATTATGAAGTGGGACATATGTTATTGGAAAATAAAATCTAATAATGAAATCACACTTAGGAAGGGGTTAACATTTAGAGTAAGAGATTTAAAGGCAAAAGTGCTAAGTTTCTGGAAGCAAAAATAGACCTAAACAGACGTAATAAAAGTACTAAAATTGAAAAGATAAGCAAATTCCAGAGTTATCTTGTGAAGTGACAGGAGGTGGTCTTCCTTGCAGGGAGCAAGGATAAATGTCCTATCTTGAGTTCCCATTTTGCCTATTCCAAACTATATTCCTCCATTAGATTTCATATTCCAGCTAATTTTTGTGGTTTCCTTTTGCACTTTTGTTGTTATTATATCTTGTGTGAACATGCCAGCATCTTTGTGTATCACAGAGAGGGGTGTGATTGTGTGTGTGTGTGTGTGTGTGTGCGCGCGCGCACGCGCGTCTACCTGTAAAACCCCCAAACCTGGAAACAGTGACAACCATGGTCAATAGGGGTCTACATAATGCCCACCCTTCCCTTAGCTGATGTAGCTCCAGACAAGACCAAGTTCAGCCACTGGAAAATAAAATCCTTATTAGACGTAGGCCACTTGGGGACCTAAAATCCAAAAGAATCAACTTGCAAAAAGAGGTAAGTTAGAAAGTTTGGTTCACTTTGCAAAGTGCTACTGAAACATTTAGTTCATTTACTCTTTTATGGAAATTTAATGGTTTACAATGTGTTGAGTGCTCCCTGAGGCACCGGGAATTCAGAATTGAGATGGTAGTGATCCCACTGTAAGGTCCCCTCTGGCTGGTCCATGTAACTTACCTGGAACTAAATCTTTTACAAGTCAAGCTGCCAGAATAGAGAGAGGTACAGTGTTCTGTGGGATCACAGGAGAGTGCCTAGTACATTCTAAATGCTGCTAAATTCTCATTTTAAATTAGAAATTTTCTCTTATGAAGTCTCTATACATTGGACCTTGTGAATTTTGAGGTTGCCCTGGCTGAATTTGATTATCACCTTATTTGCAGAGTCTTTGTCACTTTTTGTACCTGAGTTAAATCTCTTTTCTTGCTTCCCCTTGTTTCTAGGCCAGCAATAATATTTTTTACAGCTGATCTGTATAATACTTGGTGCATACATACCTTTCTGCCTCACTAAACTACTTAGCATAAGCTCTATGACTTACACACTGTGCTACGAAAAGAGCTAGCAGCAGGCCTATAGCAGTACCTATAATAAAGGTACAATAAATTTATCATGTATAATGTTTGTTGAACTGAATTTGAGAGTTGCAAAACTTAAAGTGGAGATGCATGGCTCAGGATATCCAGGGATCTAGAAATGAGGTTTTCTCTATTCAAACTTTGTGGGCCAAGAAGGGGAAATAAATCATATGATAAAGAAATAAATCACTTTTCATAAAATATTAGAACTATAAGGGAGATTTGAAGGGGACATGGCTTATCAAATTTCATTATTTTAAGATACAAATATAAATTTTAAAAGATATGAATAATTTACCTTAGATTTTCCCAAGAGTCTTCTTGTGAGAAGGTATACCATCTTTTAGAAAGAAAGAGCTCCGTTTTCTTCCATTTTAATAACGTAGATTCATCTTTGAACCTGAGCTAGACAATCTCTAGAAGAGTTACAGAAAAGTAAAATCAGTTACTTTGAGACATTTCTTCTATATCATGTAAAGGTGAGTTGCTGGAGATGGTGGAATTTTTTTTCTGAGTTTTTTATTCTTTTTCAGATCTTTGGTGCAACTATAGATTAAGATTTTTTAACACCCAATATAAAAGAACTCAAATTCCAGATTGACTCTGATCTTGTCTAGTTCCTGGGTGGAGATACTTATTATTTCAAGGGAAGATTACCAGAAAGAAAAGAAAAAAGGAAATTTGATCAAAAGTGGCTGTTGTATTTTGAGGAAAATACTGAATTTGCTATTCTAGAATAAAACAGGAGTGTTTTTATTATTACGGGGTTGGATTTCTCTTCTTTTTTGAGATATAATTGACATAGAAAATTGTATTCATTTCAGGTGTACAAATAATGATTCAAAATTTATTTACATGTGCAGTGATCACCACAATAAGTCGTTAATAGTTGTCACCTTAGAGTTACAGACTTTTTTTTTGTGATGAGAATTTTTACAATCTACCATCTTAACAACTCTCAATATACAGTGCACTGTTATTAACTATAGTCATCGTGCTACACATTACATCCCAAGATTTATTTATTTTATAAGTAGAAGTTTGTACCTTTTGACACCCTTCACCCTCTGCTTCTGGCAACCACCAATCTGTTCTCCCTTAGACTTCTCGCCTTGATTAGGCTGAAAACAAAGAGAGCATTTTATATAACACCATCATGCTCTGAGATGATTGGATGAGAAATTCTGTCTTTCGAGCTAGTATCTTCAATGGAAATTTTAAGATAAATCAAAGTTTTCTAAATTATATTTCTTCATTAATTGAGAGAATAAGTAAAAGGAGTCATTTTTACTTAATATCTTAAGGTGTGGGTTTTTTTTGTTAGTAATAGGTATGACACTTGATTATAACTTGATTATAACCTAAGATTTGGGGCCCATACTTATACCCCTCTGACTTAATAATTGATTTTAATCCAGTCACTAAGATCTGTTTGCTTCCTTACCTTGTCAATAAAAAAGACATCAGTGTGCCTTTATTTTGGCTTAGAAGTAGGTGATAAAAATCCCTTCATTTTCACCCATTTAAATGGCTTTAGTCCCTACTCTTGGGGGAAAATATACACAAATTTAAAATTTTTAAGTGCTTGTAATACAAGAAAAAGGCTATAAGGATCAAACTGTTCCAAAAACAGAAGAGGAAGGAAAGCTCCCAAATTCATTCTATGAGACCAGCATTGCCCTTATACCCAAACAGACAAGAAACTACGAAAAGCAAAAAAAGAAAGCTATAGGTCATTATCCCTAATAAACATAGCTACAGAAGTCCTCAACAAAGTTGTAGCAAACTGAACTCAACAATATTTTCCTTTATTTTATTTTATTTTATTTTATTTATTTGACAGGCAGAAATCACAAGTAGGCAGAGAGGCAGGCAGACAGGGTGGGGGGAAGCAGGCTCCCTGCTGAGCAGAGAGTCCGATGTGGGACTCGATCCCAGGACCCAAGATCACGACCCGAGCCAAAGGCAGAGGCTTAACCCGCTGATCCACCCAGGCGCCCCTGAACTCAACAATATTTTCAAAGGATCAAGTGGGATTTATTCTGAGAATACAAGAATAGTTCAATATTCATAAATCAATCAACTTGATAATCACATCAACAAAGTAAAAGATTAAAAAACATATGATCATCTCAAGAGATAAGAAAAAGTATGAGACAAAATTCAACATTCATTTGTGATAAAAACTCTCAACAGAATGGGTTTATAGGGAACATACTTCAACATAATAAAGGCCATATATGAAAAACCCACAGCTAATATCATACTCAATGGTGAAAACTGAAAGCTTTTCCTCTAAGATCAAGAACAATAAAAGAATGTCTACTCTTAACACTTTTCTTCAACATAGTACTGGAAATCCTAGCCTCAACAGATAGGAAAGAAAAAGAAATAAAATGTATCCAAATCAGAAATGAAGATGTAAAACCATCACTATTTGCAGAGGACATGATGCTGGATATATACAAAACTCTAAAGACTCCACCAAAAAACTGATATAATAAATGAATTCAGTAAAGACGCAGGATATAAAATCGATAAACAGACATGGGTTGCATTTTTATACGCATAGCAGAAAGAATTTAAGAAAACAATCCAATTTATGACTGCATCAAAAAATTAAAAACCTAGGAATAAATTTAACCCAATAGGTGAAAGACCTGTACTCTGCAAACTATAAGACAGTGATGAAAT